GGGGGGGGGGGGGGGGGGGGGGGGGGGGGGGGGGGGGGGGGGGGGGGGGGGGGGGGGGGGGGTACGGTGGCAACACCAAACCATCACCACCACCACTCGCTGCGGAGGAGGTGGTCAATCACGTATGTGTGCGAAATTTGGGTTTCCAGTGGGGGGGAGGGGGGGGGCATGCTCTTGTAGACGCATGCCGTAGTGGCTAGACCTGGGGGATGCTTTGTTGGTGCATGTCATCGTCTTTCTCACTTTGGGAGGAGGGGGAGTGTGTGGTGACGTCTGTGCGAAGGGGGCGGGGCATGTATGGGTATTATCGTTCGCGCTGACCGGTCGAATCGAAGGAAAAGGTCAAGGTCGTCCGAGGATGATCACAATTTCAGGGGACGGAGGGGGGGGAGATTGGGATATGTGCCCAGGTCTAGAATAGTTTTATCGCTGGAAACAGAGCTGACCACGCAGTCTTGTCCCAGGGAGAGGAGAGGGGACGCTTTTTTAGGGTAGGCACAGCTTGGATACCGACTGAGAAGACCGTTGGATTTGCTTTTGGCTACATGTAAACATGCATGTCGTTGTGGTGATGTCTGTTTCTTCTCGACGAGGATCGGGAACGCGTTTTGCGCTCGTCCTGTCGGTTTGGAGAGTTGGACACGTTCGGTACGTTTATCGAGGCGCGAACGCCAACATAGCTTCTCGAGGTTGTTGCTGGCGTGTCTGCAGTCCGCGGCCCACATAGGGGACAGCAACGTTATTCCTGTTGTGGAAAAGTTGACACAGAGCATGTACGAGTCAAATGTTCGTAATACTATCAGTCTCTGGGTCTTCAGCGGTGTTGTCGTGCGAGCACGTTCAGAAACGAATGCTTGTGAAACAGCTACTCTGTACATAGTTGCGTCATTCTTTCTTTCCGCTGAAGCAAAGCTCACAACATTGCCAAGGGTAGGTTTGTTATAGACTGATCAAAACTAAAATCTAGCTGTTGCTGGCATGACGCCTCTGTCCGTGCGATGTGTACCCCGAAATATCGCGTCGTACCGACTTGTGGTCGGATTGTTGATATTGTACTGCAATTTGTCCCGCACCCCCGCCTCCCCCTCCCCCAGCATCCTCGGTAACCCGACGGGACCTGTCATTGTGTTAACCATCGATCCTTCGGAACATCCCTTGTCACTTGTGGATGGTTTTTCGTTGTTTTGTTGTTGCAGTTCTGATGCGCAAGAGGTGAAGAAAGCAGAGAGCAAGACGGACGCAGCAAGTGGCGGGTTGGAGAGCAAGGGAACGGAGGCACCTGAGTAGACATAAGGTTCCAAAGGTTCCAGCAGGGGCAGGGCAGGGGGGGGAGGGAAGTCATTCGCGTACCCCCCCCCCCCTCTCGCCCGCAGGTTGTTTTAGAGTATCCTGGGTAGAGACGCGATGGCGAAAGAGAAAAGGAACAAATGCATGTATTTCGCGCTAAGCTACACGTAAGACAGCAATGCAAGAGGATAGGAGTCGCGTGCGTGCGGCGCCCAGTACGGAGACAACTGGCGGGGGATGGGGGCGGGGGGGCGCGCGGTTGCCATCGAGGCGTACCCTGGGTGGCGGAGAGCTTTCCGGCTAATAGGATTTTTATTGCGGGGGGTGCGAGTGTTGGATGATAGACGACTGGGGAACAGCAGTCGAATGCAAACGCAGCAAATGCCCTTGCGTGCAGACGTCGTCTGAGATGGATGGCATACCTTTTGTAACTCCTTGGCTATGCAGTGGTGGCGAGATATGTGGTTTGGAAGCGGGGCGGGTGATAGGGATTGATGCGGCGCCAATCAACAGCAGCGGTCATTCGAACGCAGAAATATTGTAATACTCAGGCAACGGGACGAAAGGAGGGCGTGGGAGATGACGTCAAAGACCCGAACAGGCAGCAATTTCGCCGCCAGTGCTGCTGTGTTGGTTGTGCCCTCTACCCTCACTTGCGTGCTGTTTTGGTGTTGCGATGGGCCGTTGCGCACGCTTTCCATTGGACCCCTTGGTTCCTTTTACGTGGTGCACCGAGGCCATCCCTTGTGTCCTTTCTCTTCCTTTTTTTGCGGTAGTTTTGTGGGGGTTTCAACGAGGACTTCTTTGGCTGCTGCTGGTGGTTCTCGGAAGGGGGGAGTGTTTCTTGCTCGCGACTTGGGTTTCTCTCTCCCGAGAATGTGCCTGTTGTCTCCCTCGGGTGTACAGGGGACCCCGGCCGCAGCTATCTGCGCCTCGGAGCTGTCCTCATTAAACGTCCGTACTGCGTGTGCTGAGTGGTGGTTCCTAGTCGTTTGTTCCCCCCCGCCCCTTCCCTCTTTGCAGCCTGACGATGTCGAGCAAAGTGCCCCATGTGTTTGGGGCAGTTGCAACAGCACAGTGGGGTGGGTTGTCAAGAACCCCGCGCGCGGTTTTAGGACGTGTTTTTTTGCATGTGGTTTTGACGTCGAGGACCGAAGGAAAGGGGGCTCTCACGTGGCCATGCTTCGAGTCGGCGACGCGCGCACAGCTTTTGAGAGAAAGAGGCGGGTTCCGAGCTGAAGCCGGCACATTTTCCTGATTTCCCGTACAACAGTCGACGCTCGCAACTTTTTTACTGAGCACCAGGGGGCCCGGCACAACGTACGATGATGGGCTACCCACATTTAGGCAGGTTGTCTGCCGCGTATTCTCTCCTTTATTATATCCTGCGGGCCGCTCCTTGCACCCACCACGCACCACAGTAGTGAGTGCAGAAGTAGCGACGCACAGGCAGCAGAAGAAGTAGCGAACGGTCTGCCGCTGCAGCTGTAGTAATTGGGTCTTGGTATAGAAAGATTCCTCCCATCTACCGGCGGTCCATCTGATGCCGCCAAAAAAGTAGTCCATAACCTCGTTCCTCACCGAGGGCGAGGTTATTTTTGATATCTCTCGCTTGGACGGAGGACGTTCGAAAGGTATCTGTACGCGAGTACCTACCGTGAGACGCAGAGTACCTTCTTTCGAAAACCGTTCATTCGTTTCGTCTACTCGTGAAACTCAACAGAGCCGTACAAATTGTAGAGCCAAGCCGCGGGGGGAAGTTCCGGGAACTATTCGCGATATATATATATATATATATGTGTGGAGGAGAAAGCCGTCAGGGTAGCTTTTGGTCTCCGCCGCGACAACAGTGATATATATGTACTGGTAGTCCTCGGTGCGACGTTGAAAGGGGGGAAGTTCAGGGAACTCTTCGCGATATATATATATATATGTGTGTGTGGAGGAGAAAGCCGTCAGGGTAGCTTTTGGTCTCCGCCGCGGCAACAGTGATATATATGTACTGGTAATCCTCGGTGCGACGTTGAAATACGCTCGTTTTTTTTGTTTTCTAAGAATGTTGTTCTTGTTGTATTCACATTAAACCGTATGTCAGTTGCTAAATGCCAAAATCTAGCAAAAGACTCTCAGCCCGTGGTCACGAAAGTGCTAGAGTGACGATGTCATCACACAAAACCAACACGGAAAGTCAGAAAAAAAACGAAAAAAATTGACGACACAGAATGTTTGTCCGTGCGCCACGGGTCGATGTCGCCCGCATGCGCCGGTGCCATTGCTCCATCCGGCGCCGCTGTAGTCAGCCCGAGCAAAACGCCACTCGACCTGCTCCGTCCGTACACGCTCTCGTTGCTGTCCTTCCCAGTCCGTTTCTCGCTTTCTCCCTCATTGCACTCAAGGTGCTTGGTCTGAAAAAATATAAATTCTCGCGCCGAATGGTCAACCAGCCTAGTTCAGCTCGTCGCCACCTGCTCCCTCCTCCTTTGATGGCGAAGCCAGGTTACTGAGGCAATACAGCTCCCTCTAGCAAACCTAGGGCCGTGTAGTGCCCGTCCACCTTTCTGATGGTGTCTGCCTCCGCGCACAAAAATGAGATGGGCATCACTGCCAACGCCGACGGCCAGAAAGGCCCGCGCATCTACATTTTCCCGCCTGACCCCATCAGTGCCGACCCAACTCCACCACCACACGCACGCCTCGCGGCGGATGCGCAGCAGCAAGAAGGTTTCGGTCATCCCTTGAGGGTGAGTCTAGCCCTGCTCGCCAGAAAGACCCCCCCCTTCACTGCAACCCATGTCTAAGCAAAAGCTTGTCGAGGAGCGAGGGGAAGAAGGGAGAGTAGAATGAGATAGATAGTATATATATGTATACTTGGACTTTCCTCCTTTCGCTGCCGGCTATGAAGTACATTATTAGTTGGCCGCAAAAATTTGTGTACTACAGTTGTAGTCTAGTTGTTTTCAACACGTCCCCGACTGCTTGTCACGTTTTCGGGGAAGAACGCCTCCATATATGTTCAAGAAAACACGATTTTTTGGTCGTTAATAATACCCCTTACGTCCCATTCAAAGACATACATGCCTTGGACCAGCCAGAGCTTTCTCTAGGGAAAATAGGCCAATTTGAGATGCTCGTCCTACATTCAGTTTTCGTCTGACCAACTTTCTGAGTGGCCCTACCCCCCCTTATTCGACCCAGCCAGGGGGAAGCGATTGACGACGTGCTCTAACAGCGAAAAAAGAAGTTCAGGCCAAGTTCGACCCGAAGAGTAACGTTTTTTTGAGCATTTTTTTATTCGTCTTTTTGGGGGTTTCGAAGCGATCTACGAAATCGATTTCTGATTTTCCGTTGATCCAACGTGGGAAGGGGGGTGCCGGCTTTAGCTCGGAACCAGCCAAGGGTGGTGTTCGTGGCCAGCGGGTAGCACCCCCCATTTCGCCCGTGCGTGTCTTCCGACTTCTATTGGGTGTGTTTGCTCATTTGTCACTTCGACTGCGACGTTCGTCCTCCTTTTTGTGGGAGACACGCCAGGTTGAGCCATTTTGTTTGTCCGTCGCACACGAGGACTGTTTGCAGAAACAAGGAGAGAAGAAGATTGAGCTTGCTCACTGTGCAGGTAAAAGCGCGAGCAAAGCCATCTTTCGGAGGACGGACGTGTCTTGCTTGCTCTCTCGTCTGTACACATAACGAAACAACTATAGCAAGCGTCGCCACCAGCAGCACTACTACTATTGACCTCATTCACGCTGACCCCGTCTACAAATATGGCGGAGTATAATGCCTGGCCGTTCCAAACGCTCCCTAAAGGATGATTTTTTAAATGGTCTTTCATTATGGCAGTGTCACCGTCAAAACGTCAGCCTGCACGACCCAACTTTTTCACGCTGGCTGACCCGTCAACAACAATTTTTGGCGGTGTTTCGGTGGAGTTTACCGCCTGCTGGCCGTTCCAAACGCTCCCAATGAGGCGGACGTCAAACTTTTCTCTTTCCTTTTTGGGGTACGATCGGCCGAAATGAGCACTCACGATCGACGACATGTCGGACACGTCATGGCAAACGAGCAAATCGCAGCCAATTCTTGTGCACCAACATCATTATGACCAGCAACAATATACAACGTGGATCAACCTCCTCCCTCTCAATCAACGCAGCCACTGCTGTAGGGTGGCTCCGTTTTTTAGGTACAGACCGGTCACAAATTCCGTTATACCCCTACTTTGCAAAAATGAGACACTGCTGCCGACTAGGGTTTTGCTTCTACTCAACAGACACCAAGCCAAGACCCAAGCCGACAGGGGGGTTCCGTGCAATCATGCTGGAACACACGCAGGTGGGGGCAGCCAGCCAGACGTAACCGCGCCAACACCAATGCAATGGACAACATCAAACAGTCCTCGTCAACATATACGACGACAGAAACACGGGCCTACCTACCCAGTCTCCCAATGTAACGTGGAGAGCACGACAAGTAGTCTACACGCTCGACTGCTGTCATGCACGGCCGCCAACTCTGCATCAAGCCGGGCGCTCCCAGTTGCCCCCCCCGTCCCCATACCTCACGGCGCTTCGCGCTTGGTGATTTGAGAGCCTGGTCCGGTGAGAACCCGGCGTGCTCCGTCCCGACTAGAGTACACACAGACAAACAGCAAGTAGTGCCCACCGCAGGAGTGGTGATGGGCAATAAACGTACAGCAGTGTGGGGGGGCTCAATAATGCCGGCTTGTGCCTGGCGAATCGACCAGCGCTTTCAAAGGGAATGGCTTGGTGATTCAGTCCGTGCCCATGGATTTCGCCGGCGCTAGTATACACGGCCATCGGCCGCTACTCAACCGGCGTTGTTGAGGGGGGGGGGGGGGGGGGG